ATTTCCAAGTTTAAAATACCTACAAAAGCAGCAAATGAGAGCCTCCGAACAGCAATGAAAAGGAGGCCCAAGGACAACTGAACTCAAATTAGTCACAAATTCATAAATTATTGAACTGAATTAACATGTGCTCAAAAATTTAAACCCGAAACTGAAAATGATGAACTAATGGCCAAGTATTGTGTCAGAAAAATGATGGCTTTTGCCGCAGTGGCTCATGCCTGTAATCCCAACACTCTGGGAGGTTGGGAAGGGCATATCACTTGAGATCACGAGTTTGAGGCCAGCCTGGCCAACATGGTAAAACCTCACCTCTACTAAAAATAATAAAAAAAAAAAATTAGCTAATCCTAGCTACTCGAGAGGCTGAGGTGAGAGGATTGCTCGAACCCAGGGCGGTGGTTGCAGAGATTGTGCCACTGCACACTCCAGCCTGGGTATCAGAGCAAGACTCCATCTCTTTAAAAAAAAAAAAAAAAAAGATGGCTTTCGCGTGTGGGCTTCAGTGAGATGTAGAAAATCACTACAGGCAAAATATTTCCATTTTTGCACCAAAGGGAAGTGAACTAGCAAAAGTAGCATTTCTCATATACTCAAACACAAAAACTAAACTCCTTTTGTGCACTACGTGTCTGATACTAGTCTGAACATTTTGTTAAATATTAAATCATGTAATCCTGAGAGATATCACCGTTATTGCCTCCACAATACAGACAAGGAAACTGAGGCAGATTAACAGTTTACCCAAGGGCAGGGCTGGAAATGGAAAGGCTGCCCTCTTATCTACATATACTGCCTTCCAACCTTATATTCTCATTTAAAAAAAAAAAAAAAAAAAAAAAAAAAAAAAAAAAAAAAAAACCTAAGCCTGAACAGTTAAGTCTAAACTTAATCTCAACCATTACAGCAAAGCCTGTGATTTCTTCATAAAACATCAATTCTGACAAAATTTCTAGTACACAACAGAATCACTGAATGGGAGGACCCTCCTGAACACAGGAGCACTGCACCCTGCCTTTAATCAAGGCTCTAAATTCAAACCCCCAACACCAACCATACCCTCCCCTCTAAATGGGACTACTGTACCACAGTACATCAACCAAGGTGTGGCGAGCACAGGCAATGCTATGAAGCTTGGACTTGGATCTGCCAGGAAGTACTGGCATCCAACCAGAGGACGACAGAGTTGTTACCAGCTACTCCCATCGAAGCTTTAAGTGGCTTGAGGTCCAAGGACTTGAATATGGCCAGGATCCTTTCACAGAACACACAACAGAATTGTACATTTCACTGAAAACTTTTTATTGATTGGCCTTTTGGATAGAAACGGGGATTTATTTGCCAGGAAGGATGATCCCATCATACTGAAAGAGAAGAGATTTAATTTTTTTCAGAACAGGAGGCAATAGCACAGATTGCAGCAATGGCTAACATTTGAGAAATCAAATCTGATTGATACATGAAATTGGAGTCTGAATCCCATCCTTTTCTGGACTAAATAGGAAGCTGGCTGGTTTTTAAACTGTGCTTAACTGCCCTATCATCTAAGAAACGGGGCTCCTTTTTTAAAGCTGTATTCCTCCCCTTCCAGCTACCCCCATTCAGGTGGGGAGAAGGTCTAGTTCTGGATGTTCTTTTAAACCATCATCCCTGGAAGCCCCTGATTTGCCAAGGTGCCCAATATTCTAACTTTAAAGAAGATACCCACCGAACAGTACTGTATTTTGCATTCCCCAATCCCAACTCCATTCACCAACAGCACATTCCACCACTTCACTTGAGAGAAATCAGCTTTACCTTCTGCTGGAACCAGCGCATGGCCTCCTCTTTGCTGATTCTGTGTTTGGCCCCAATGCAGCCTGTCCTGCGCTTCTTGTCTGCGATGCTGAAACCTGGCCTACCCAGCACCTGTCCCAGGAATAACCAACAGTCACCTAGCCAGCTCAGAGTCAAGAGCAGATGGACAAGACTCACACATTGCAGATGGATCTTCAAGAGTCACTGGCAGCCCAATGAATTCTGGAGCAAGATCCACGATCTCAGTGTCTGACAGAACTGCCACCAGCATCTCACACAACACACGGCCATACTATAGGTTTGCTTTGGAGGCTGCAACTTTCAGCACCGCCCCCCAACCCAACCTATCTTCCAATGGTGCTGAGGAACCTTCATTACTGCTCCCTAAAGCTCCAAAACTTTTCTTTTTAAAAATAACATTTATAAATCTATTGCCACACCAGCAATATAGAAAACATAAAACTCCGAGAAGCACAAATATATATCCCTATTTTCTTCCTTCTGCTTCAGCTCAAATGTGCTTCCCAAAGGTGTGCTGTTCCTCCAACCTCCCGTGAGTATCCAACACTTTATTACTTGTTTGGGCATTCAAGTCTAATGAGGGTGCCACCATTTTCCAGGTTCCATGCTACTCATAACTTCTGATTTAGGCTATTCAGTTTTATTGCTGGACTGTAACACTGCAGTAACACAAAAGGTTATTTCTATGTTAAAACCCCATTCCTGAGCAAACCACTGCATCACCCAAAGCTGTTTCTATTGGAAGAACCAGGGGAAAAAACAGCCTCAGTGCAGGCAACCCAGAGGCCAAATGTAGCACCAATACTGCCTCTCTCCAAAGTTTCAAATCACTGGCTGGATGGAAGTTTCCTTCCTCCACCTTTAAGCCATGTGAGTGCTTTATGGATCCTCGACTGCAAGCTCCCCAACAGCAGGGATCTTGTCCATCTTTTTCAGTGCTGCACCCCTACATTTGCCACAAACGAGGCACATTTTCCCAAGGGGGAGAACACAAAGGCAGACAATATTCAAAGCTGCAACCTAACATGTGAACACCAACATACCACATATGAAATAAAATAAAGATTCCCCTCTCCTTACAGACCCGGAGCGGGAAAAAATTAAATATTCATACCACATAGAAGTCCAGGCCGTAGATACCAATGCTTGGGTCATATTTGATACCAAGATCGATGTGTTCCTGAATCCCAAAACCAAAGTTTCCAGTATCGGAGAAGTTGTTTTTTCTTAACTCATACTCCCGCACCTGTGGAGAAAAATGCAGCAATAACAACATTTCTTGTCATCTTCAACTCCCTCCCACCTCCAAATACCCAAATAGCTCAACCTGCAATATGCACCCCAGAGCAAAAACAGAGGTTGATGAAACTTGGCTGGGAGCATAATCCAACTTCTTCACTACACCCAGACTATGGATTCACACTCCAACTATCCAATATGACCTCTCCCAGCTTCCAAAGGGCAGAGAAAAACCCAGAGAAAGCAGAGGCATGAAATGACTCCCAAGCATCTTTTTTTTTTTTAAGACAGTCTTGGTCTGTTGCCAGGTGCGAGGCTGGAGGGCAGTGGTGCAATCTCGGCTCACTTCAACCTCCGCCTCCTGGGTTCAAGCAATTCTCCTGCCTCAGCCTCCGTAGTAGCTGGGGACTACAAGCGTGCGCCACCATGCCCAGCTAGTTTTTGTATTTTTAGTAGAGACAGCGTTTCACCATGTTGGCCAGGATGGTCTCGATCTCTTGGCCTCATGATCTGCCCGCCTCGGCCTCCCAAAGTGCTGGGATTGCAGTCTTGAGCCACTGCACCCCGCACATCTTTTTTTTTTTCTTTAAGACAAGAGTCTCATTCTGTGGCCTAGGCTGGGATGCAGTGGCATGATCTCAGCTCAATGCAACCTCTGCCTCTGCCTCCCAGTTTCAAGCAATCCTAATGCCCCACCCTCCCAAGTAGCTGGAACTATATAGGTACCCATCACCAAGCTTGGCTAATTTTTATATATATATATATATTTTTTGAGACGGAGTTTCACTCATGTTACCCAGGCTGGAGTGCAATGGCACGATCTCGGCTCACTGCAACCTCTGCCTCCTGGGTTCAGGCAATTCTCCTGCCTCAGCCTCCTGAGTAGCTGGGATTACAGGCACGCGCCACCATGCCCAGCTGATTTTTTGTATTTTTGGTAGAGACGGGTTTCACCATGTTGACCAGGATGGTCTCGATCTCTTGGCCTCGTGATCCACCCGCCTCGGCCTCCCAAAGTGCTGGGATTACAGGCTTGAGCCACCGCGCCCGGCTAATTTTTATATTTTTAACAGAGACGGTGTTTCACCATGTTGGCCAGGATGGTCTCAAACTCCTGGCCACAGGTGATCCACCTGGCTCAGGTGGTGCTGGGATTATAGAGCTGAGCCACCGTGTCCGGCCCCAAGCATCTTTTAAACCACCAAGAATAGTTAACCCTACTGACTGCAGAAAAACCCTTTCAGAAGGTTAATAAATATCAAGGCACCAAAGAACAGAACATTAAATGTAACTTATCTACATGTGTTATTAAGGGGGTGCTGATCAGTATCACTCCATCAGGGGATCAGCCTCACCTTTAAGCCCTTCTCCAAGATTTCTTCTGCCTTGGCCCCTCGAACTGTGCAGTGGACAGCAATCTTTTCATTTCTCCGGATGCCAAAGGATCTGACAGTGTATCTAGCTGCAGAAAGGGGGTAACAAGGAGTCAGATGCCATCATACCCCCACTACACTCACCTTTCCCAGAACACCATCTCCATGGCTCAAAGAGACATTACGTATTCATCCACACTCTAAGTTGTGGTGTTCTAATTAGTGCTGCCTACATCTATTAATAAGATTTCATCCACAGCACAGATTTTCCAATTTCCAGACATCCAGCCATCCTTCAGCAGTTAAAAACACAGTTATAATGCCAAAGAAGCCTCTACTAAGACTACCATGTTCCAAAGAAAACAAAGCATTATTGACAATATCTAGTATTTGCTGAAGCCTTACTGTACTGTTATCCGTATTTTATAGGTTAAGTTTTGAGAAGTTTATTAACTTGCCAAACATCACAGCTGGTCATGAAAAGCAGGAGCTGAATCCAAAGGCTTTCCATATTTCACTATGCTAAGGCAATTGCACACATACAATTCATTTTACCTTCCACAATTATAAAGTATTACCCTCTTCATGGAAATAAAAAGGCAGAGGTCCAGAAAGCTCAGAGAGCGAAGCCATCACTCAAACCCAGGCAATCTAGTTACGCAACTTTTGAGATGCCCTGTTCTCATTGCAGCCTATATAACCCTAACTGCTAATCAAACCTAATGATCTTTACTTCGTTCCTGACATGTCCACTCTATCTCATATCCTGGTTACTTGGGCTAGTCTTAGCTTAAGATCTGAATGTTCCAATCCTACACCCAATCTTGAAAGACACTTCTTGGTTGGCTCATGAATTTAATACTATAAGTGATGCCAACTGTCACTTTCTAAGCACTCTAAAGCAAGTAAATTAAGAAACAACCAGGTGACCGAGTGGCCAGCCCTGTATGTCCTTGTCACTACTCACCTTTGGAAAACACAGGGGTCTGCCCTGTGAGCTGCTCCAACACCTTGGCAGCTCGGGTCAGTCTGTCTCCACTCTCCCCAACACAGATGTTGAGACAGAGCTTGCGGATGCGAAGTTCCCGCATGGGATTCTCCTTTTCACCTTGATCCTGCTGCAACAGGGAAGAGCAGCAGTCAATACACTCACAGCTGACAGCCCGAAGTTTTTACTTCTATCGGCACAGCATTTTAATTTCTGCTCATCCCAAATCGTAACGAAAATCCTAAATGTTTAAAGAGTATCAACGTGTTTGGGAGGCATCAAGGAAGAAGTCAGCTCCGGACCTATTCTTCCTCCACGAACGGCACGGGTGAAGAGAAACTCAGGATACGTGAGATCGAACCCTAAGAGGCTCAGCGTAACAAAGAGTGCCTCCACTATAAGATCAACTAAGGGGAGTGAGGGAACAGAACATAACTGCGGAGTTAACAGGAAGCACGTGGTTATGCGACGTCCTGCATCCCATTCGGAACCTGTCGAAAGGTTGGCGCCTTCCCTAAGCGGAGGAACCGGTTAAAGTTTCCTAGCACCGGGCAAATCTCAAGTGCCTGAGACCAGGAAAAACCCCGAACGCCCTGCCTTAGAACCCGCCATTCACCCCACATGCCTTCGCCGCAGCCTCCTAGCTGTGCTTCTGAGCTCTCCGGATAACTGCCCAGAGTAGCTCCTAGAACTACGGCAGGGGACTTGATAGGCTTCAACCCTGCATCCTCGGCCCTAACGACTCTGCCAGTCTTGGACTGGCAAGCATTGCAGGCTCCATACTCTTCGGGCTGCGGGCGAGATAGCCCCCGCAGACTCGGCCTGCCAGGGATGGCGGCGGATAAAGAAAAGCAAATCCAAGTCCCAGCTACTCACCGCCATGATGGTGAACAGGAAGAGAAAGTAGAGCTTCCGGCCCAGAGCCTCATGGGCTAGGAGGCGGGTTCTTTTCCCAGGCTAACCACAAAGATGAAGAAGAGGAAGAGAGGCGCATTCGGCAGCGCAGTGCAGCGCCGGCTTCCCCCTTGTGGGTAGTGCTAGAACTGCAGGTGAAGCCGGCTGAAGACCTGGATCTGGGTTTTCCAAAAATAGTTTTTGAAAGCTCCCTGAATCAGCAACTCCTTGAGTTTCCGGACCTCGAGGACGTTCTCTCTTCCCAGTGTCAGGATCTGGTGGTCCTTGTGTCTTGAGACTGCCAAAACTACATTAAATCAATCATGCAAATAATGATGCAAATTTATTCTGTAACAATGTAAACACATAGAATTGATTGATTGAGACAGTGTCTCCCTCTGCCGCCCTGGCTGGAGTGCAGTGGGGTGATCTCGACTCACTGCGACCTCTGCCTCCCGGGTTCAAGCGATTCTCCTGCCTCAGCCTCCCAAGTAGCTGGGACTACAGGTGTGCACCACCACACCCGTCTAATTTTTTTTTGTATTTTTGGTAGAGGTGGGGTTTCACCATGTTGGTCAGGCTGGTCTCGAGCTCCTGACCGCAAATGATGTACTCGCCTTGGCCTTGGAAGCTTGCAGTGAGGCGAGATCACACCACTGCACTCCAGCCTGGGTGACTGAGACCCTGTCTCAAAAAATAAAAACAAAAACCAGCAACCACAAATGGCAGGCTTTCAGTCTCCACTCATGATGCAGTGTTTTAATTAAAAGGTTACTGTACACTGTATTTTTTTTAGGATGAGAAGAAACATCAGAAGCAGTTGAGGGAGCAGGAAGTGGGTCCCCTAGGGAAAAGGAGGCATTCTCTTAGATGGCTTTTTAAAATGTTTCCTCGAGTCATCCGCCCTTTTTTATTGAAGCAGGTTCTTGCTCTGTTGCCTAAGCAGAACTGCAGTGGTGTGATCGTGGCTCACTGCAGCTACCACCTCCTGGGGTCACATGATCCTCCCACCTCAGCCTCCCACATAGCTGGGACCACAGGTGCACACCATGCCCGGCTAATTTTTAAAATTTTGTGTAGAGATGGGATCTTTCCATGTTGCCCAGGCTGGTCTCCAACTCCTGGACTCAAGTGATCTTCCCACCTTAGCCTTTCAGTACTGGCATTACTGGCATGAACTGCCATGCTAGGCCTCATCTGCCTCATTACCAATGGTTTTTACCTTAGACATGGTTTCTCATTTTGTTATGAATGCATACTTCTCTTGTCCTTCAATAAGCCCATCATGCATTTTCTTTTTTTTTTTTTTTTTGAGACAAAGTCTCTCTCCATCACCCAGGCTCGAGGGCAGTGGCATGATTGCAACTCACTAAAACCTCTTCCTCCCAGGTTCAAGCAATTATCCTGCCTCAGCCTCCTGAGTAGCTGGGATTACAGGCATGCACCACCAGGTCCAGCTAATTTTTGTATTTTTAGTAGAGACAGGGTTTCACCCTGTTGGTCAGGCTGGTCTCCGACTCCTGACATCAAGTGATCCACTTGCCTTGGCTTCCCAAAGTCCAAGGTGGACTCCCTGTAAAGGCGTCCACCACCATGCCTGGCTAATTTTTGTATTTTTTTTTTTTTAAGTAGAGACGGGGTTTTGCCATGTTGGCCAGGCTGGTCTCGAACTCCTGACCTCAAGTAATCCACCCACCCTGACCTCCCAAAGTGCTGGGATTACAGGCATGAGCCACCGTGCCTGGCCCATAAGTCTTTTTTTTTTTTTTTGAGACGGAGTTTCACTCTTGTTGCCCAGGCTGGAGTGCAATGGCGCGATCTCGGCTCACCGCAACCTCCGCCTCCTGGGTTCAGGCAATTCTCCTGCCTCAACCTCCTCAGTAGCTGGGATTACAGGCAAGCGCTACCATGCTCAGCTAATGTTTTTGTATTTTTAGTAGAGACGGGGTTTCACCATGTTGACCAGGATGGTCTCGATCTCTTGACCTCGTGATCCACCCGCCTCGGCCTCCCAAAGTGCTGGGATTACAGGCGTGAGCCACCGCGCCCAGCCCAGCCCCCCATAAGTCTTTAAAAATGTAATGTCATATCTCTTCTTAAATTTCTGCAACCAGCCGCAGTGGCTCATACCTGTAGCAGTTTGGGAGGCCAAAATGGGAAGGTTGGCTTGAGCCTAGGAGTTCAAGACCAGCCTGGGCAAAAAGGCAAGACCCTGCATGATGGGGGTGCCGTGTGTGTGTGTGTGTGTGTGTGTGTGTGTGTGTGTGTGTGTGTTCGGGAGGCTGAGGTGGGAGGATCACTTGAGCCTAGGGGGCTGAGTCTACAGTGAGCCACATTTATGCTACTGCACTCCAGCCTGGGCGATAGAGTGAGACCCTGTCCGCACACCCCAAAAAATTCTGCAACCAGCCTGTTGAATATTCACAGTTCCCTTCAATAGTCTGTTAATCATGATAGATCTTGCTCGTTACCTTCAGTATGCCAGTATGACGTTGGATGGATCCATCAGTGCAATGCTAATGGATCTACTCTTTTTTTATTTTTTGAGATGGAGTCTTGCTTTGTCGCCCAGGCTGGAGTGCAGTGGCAGGATCTCAACTCACTGAACCTCCAGGTTCAAGCAATTGTCCTGCCTCAGCTTCCCAAGTAGCTGGGATTATAGGCACCTGCCACCATGCCTGGCTACTTTTTGTATTTTTAGCAGAGACGGGGTTTCGCCATGTTGGTCAGGCTGGTCTCAAACTCCAGACTTCAAGTGATCTGCCCACCCTGGCCTCCCAAAGTGCTGGGACTACAGGTGTAAGCCATTGTGCCCAGCCAGATGGATCTACTCTTTTTTTTTTTGAGATGGAGTCTCACTCTGTTGCCCAGGCTAGAGTGCAGTGGCACAATTTCTGCTCACTATAACATCCGCCTCCCAGGTTCAAGCGATTCTCCTACCTCAGTCCCCCAAGTAGCTGGGATTACTGGTGTGTGCCACCTCGCCCGGCTAATTTTTACATCTTTAGTAGAGATGGGGTTTCGCCATGTTGGCCAGGCTGGTCTGGAACTTCTGACCTCGTGATCCGCCCACCTGGGCATCCCAAAGTGCTGGGATTATAGGCGTGAGCCACCGTGCCCAGCCTCTGGATCTATTCTTTCAATACATAGTCGAGATCTTCATTTTTCATGCTTTATGCATTTTCTGTTTTTCATTAACTTCTGTTCATCATATTCAGTATCGAACTTCACCAGTTTATCCTTCTGTTTCCTTAGGTCATCAACGGTGTTCATGCCAACACCATACTCTTCTGTAGGACATTTCACAACTATGCTGCTGTCCAGTTTCTTCAGCAACTTGACTTTCTGTGCGATAAACATAGCTGCTTTCTCTTTTTCTTTTTTGAGACAGTCTCACTCTGTCACCCAGACTGGAATGCAGCAGTGCCATCTAGGGTTACTGCAACCTCTGCCTCCTGGGTTCAAGCAATTCTCCTGCCTCTGCCTTCCAAGTAGCTGAGATTATAGGTGCCTGCCACCACGCCCAGCTAATTTTTGTATTTTTGGTAGAGACAGGGTTTCGCCATGTTGGCCAGGCTGATCTCGAACTCCTGACCTCAAGTGATCTGCCTGCCTTGGCCTCCCAAAGTATTAAGATTACAGGTGTGAGCCACCTCGCCTGGCCTGCTTCCTCTTTTTCTCATCACTGTTACTCATAGGGGTATCTGCAGGGCTTTCTTTACACTTTGAACAATACCTTTACACCACAGAACAGAAAATAATAGTTAAAAAACCAAAGTGGGGCCGGGCGCGGTGGCTCATGCATGTAATCCCAGCACTGTGGGAGGCCGAGGTGGGTGGATCACGAGGTCCAGAGATCCAGACCATCCTGGTCAACATGGTGAAACCCCGTCGCTACTAAAAATACAAAAAATCAGCTGCGCATGGTGGCGCGTGCCTGTAATCCCAGCTACTCTGGAGGCTGAGGCAGAGGTTGCGATGAGCCAAGATAGCGCCATTGCACTGCAGCCTGGGTAACAAGAGCAAAACTCCATCCCCCTCACCAAAAAAAAAACACCAAAGTGAGTGATGTGCATAGATCTCCGTCCTCTTTGAGGCAGGTGGGAAACAACCTGCAGTTGGCATGTCTAGCCTGCAAATGTGCCATTATGTTACCTCTTATTTTTTTTATATGGAATCTTGCTCTGTCACCCCGCCTGGAGTGCAGTGGCACAATCTTGGCTTCCTGCAACCTCTGCCTCCCAGGTTCAAGCAATTCTCCGGCCTAAGCCTCCCAAGTAGCTAGGATTATAGACATGTGCCACCACACCTGGCTAATTTTTTATTTTTATTTTTATTTATTTATTTTTTTTTTTTTTGAGACGGAGTTTCGCTCTTGTTACCCAGGCTGGAGTGCAATGGCGCGATCTCGGCTCACCGCAACCTCCGCCTCCTGGGTTCAGGCAATTCTCCTGCCTCAGCCTCCTGAGTAGCTGGGATTACAGGCACACGCCACCATGCCCAGCTAATTTTTTGTATTTTTAGTAGAGACAGGGTTTCACCATGTTGACCAGGATGGTCTCGATCTCTTGACCTCGTGATCCACCCGCCTCGGCCTCCCAAAGTGCTGGGATTACAGGCTTGAGCCACCGCGCCCGGCCTAATTTTTTATTTTTAGTAGAGATGGGGTTTTGCCATGTTGGTCAGGCTGGTCTTGAACTCCTGACCTCAGGTAATCCACCAGCCTCAGCCTTCCAAAGTGCTGGGATTACAGGTGTGAGCCACTGTGCCTGGCCTCATGTTACCTCTTATGGGCATGCTTTTGTGGGAGAATCTGAGTGTGAGCGGAAAATAGGTATCACAGCTGAAGGGGGCTGGGAGCGTCTTTTTTCTCTTGGGAATGCTGAATAAATTGTGTACTGTGTACCTGCATTATGACCGCCACCTGTCACATGAGGTCAAGTGTACAATTTTCCACTGTGGCTTCATGTCAGTGCTCAAAGTGTTTCAGAGTTTAGAGCATTCCAGATTTGGGGGTTTCAGATTAGGGATGCTCAATCTTTAATTAGAACCCTTTCAGTCTCAGTTTTCCTCATCTGTAAAACTGGTACCTCTATCTCATAAGGTTTTGTAAAAAATAAATAAGGTAGACCGGGCACAGTGGCTCACACCT